TGCTTTCGGTCATGTTCGATTTTTCGGGTGTCACAGGAATTTAATTGCGAAATGTAGAACGCACCCATTCCAGAAATCCGTCAATATTGCCACAAGGATCATATTCCCAAGGCTAACATTTAAACAGTTGATAACCAAAAAAAGCATTTAAATTGCCAAGGCCATACCACGTAATTTCCACCGTAGTTTTCACGTTCAAAGAATATCAACTTGACGGATTCCTGTGCCATTTTCTTCGGAAAGCTGTGCGAGACAGAACGAAAAGAATCAATACGATCACAAAGCATAACCTCCTTTATGCTGTTTGCCCTTTGTGTCAATTTCCATAAGGAAAGCTATAACGGACATTCCAGGAGAGAAATCAGGGCTGAAATACCCGCAGCCACGATGATCTTTGCCCCCTATGAATCAAGTAAACATTTTAAAAGACAAAATTCTCAGTAAAATGTAAAATTCTTCCATCCACTTTAATAACCTTCGATTCTAACGAGTTACATTAACTAATTTTGGTTCCGCGAAATAGATCATATAACAAGGGAAAAATTTGTACGATCACGTCACGCAAAACATCATGCCGATCAAGCTGGGTTTGTCCAGTTGATTTTGATGGACGCAGGGTTCTGTCGGTCAAAACCGTTGTGGTCCATAATAGCGTAAAATCATTAAGAACAAGTCTCTGTACCTCAATACCTCAAATCGTGTGCATATCATCCAGATTCCGAGTGCTGCACCTTCTTTCATAGGAATTTGAGCAATCCGAAGTCCTCTGAGGATACACTGTTATACTTGTATGTCATTTAAAACATGTTGAAGTCGGCTGATCTACACGAAACTATCCTCACACCGGTCACTTGTCATAAACATGTACGTTGTCACGATGGCGTGACGCTGTATTTCTCCATGAAGTTTCCATCGGTCGCCCCAAAGAAGACGAGAAATGGACATTTTTCGATATATCAGCAGATTTCCGCGCATTCTAAGTAAAACCAACCAAAAAAAAGAAGAAAACCTTAATTGAACGCTCGTAAATACTGAGAATCTGAGAGCAGAAATCGCAACTTGTCAGCGGAAGTACTACATGTAAAACCCAGTCGCCACAATAGAAATTGTAAGACTCGCGCGAAAATAATCACAAAGTGTAGATTTTGAACTATTCAGTATCTCTGCAGTACATCAAACGGAACAAGGATTTCATCACAATCAATTTCCAAAAATTTAGCTTTTTTCAGGGAGCCTTTCACGTGCTCGAACGTTATATTGGCTTTGAGCCTTTAGATTTATTTCCCTTGACAATAAAAAGCTATGGAAAGTGCTTACAAAATTACCAAGGAACTATTTTTTATGTCGCTTGGACTGAGAAATACAGATTTGAAATGATTAATGCTGTCATTGATGGACTAAACGGCACAATATTCTCAGTTATTACCTTGATAATCTCCACAGACTAACGTAATTGGACCGAACGATCTCCTTTTTCTTCCTGGTGAGCTGGCCACCTCAGAGGAAAATTAAAGAGACCTTTAACTTCTTCTCGTGTAAATCACTGAGAGATTGCGTTATATTCATCTTTCTTTAAGCTTGTAAAAGATATCCGGGAGGAAAGTATGGAAAATAATGGTGATGAAATCGCTGTTCTTTTTCCTGAAGGACCTAAAACAATCCAGATTACATATTAACCATGGGGGGTTTCGTTCGAGTGACAAGTTGTGATTTGCGTGTGGATAATAAGTTGTTTGAAAGGTGGAATTATGACATTATGATCTCATTAAATCTTTTATTTCGAACTTTGCTATGACTTTTTCTTTATCAAAACATGGAAGGAAACATTGATTGACTCAATAGCCCTGCGGCGGTGATAAGTCTCTCCTCATCATATCTAATGCAAATTTTCCAACAGTTTTCTGACAGTTTTCAGATGATTCGAAATATCTTCGTTCCTGTCACAAGAAAATGATAACTGCCCGGAAAGCTGTGCGAGACACATCGCCAGAAATCAAGGACATTTCGAGCCCGCTAACAATTATCAGCGGTATATCGTATTACACTCCGGAATTCAATATGGCGGCGATCACGGCTCGATCTGCGAAGAAGAGTGTTTCGTACCATGACTTATACAATTTGAGCACCGCAGATCTTCTATTTAATGAAAGAAAAAGAAAAGAAGACCTGCAAGTAAATCTTTGGGATTTTTCGAGGCAGAGCGATGATATGATGTCAGAATTTTGATTTGCTTTAATTTAATTTTCGCTCTAAGACTACTGAATTTGCATTCAATGCCTGGCATATTTTTATTCCGAAAAGGACCTGAGAACTAATTCATTTCCCTGCAAGAACATAAACAAATATGGCCGACGATTCGAAGATCAGCGTTGCTCGTGTTTAACTATTTCAGTCATAGTTTTCAACATGGCGTCTCGTCACTTACTCAACATGGAAAATAAGGGATAATCTGGCGCGTTGGGAAGTTTTTTGATGGGAGGATACAGGATATTTGGACGCTTCGAACTCTGTAGCAGTCAATTCTATCGAGAGCAGTTGACTTTATTGATGCACTTTCCTGTAATAGGCGAGTGTTTGGGATGGAGAACGACGGATTTTGAAGAACTGTATGGCGACCTAGGTCAATAATCAATGACCAAAGAACTGGCTCCGGAAGTAACTGATTTTTGTTTATCGAGTCCCTATGAGGTTTGATGAATAGCAGAATCAGTACTGAATATGTCTCGATCGAGAGCAGACGGGACCATGAGCTCCTGATTGTTATATTTTAGAAATCTTTACAAATTTCCATACAGTTTCTTATATTATTTGGACGCCATTATGGACGAAATGCGCAAGCGCGACCGCCATCTTGTCCAATATTTCTGCCGATGAGAACGAAAAGAATCAATACGATCACTAAGTTTAACTTCCTTTATTCTATGTTTGTCCTTTGTGTCCATTTCCATAAGAAAAGCTGTAAATGACACTTGTGCAATAAGAAATAGGGGAAAATATGGGCGACTTCTCCCACTATGACTAGAGAGTTGTTAAAAATCGGCACTCGGCATACCGTTGTTCCTAGAATTTATGACAACTGACCGGTGTGGTGTGAGGATAGTTTCGTGTAGATCAGCCGACTTCAACATGTTTCAAATAACATACAAGTGTAACAGTGTATCTTCAGAGGATTTTGGATTGCTTAAATTCCCATGAAAGAAGGTGCAGTACTCGGAATCTGGATGATATGCACACGATTTGAGGTATATGTTCGTAGTTACGTAGAGTTGTCCTCCATAAAGGTTGATCAATTTTTTTTTAAAAGATGACAACCAGAGGCGAGATTTCTCTTCGGGATATTTCTCATAAGATAACATTCTTTCAAAGCCTCGCACGTTTCATTTGTCTGAAACGTTTGTTGTTGAGAACATTAGATGTAAACATTGCCAAATTATGCAATATCTGATTTTGAGCTTTTTTCGCGAATAGCCCCTATAAAAAGTAGAGGCAGGCCCGCAGAAATTTTTACATATTTAAAAACTAGAATATTATAGCCAGCTAGCTGGGTAGTTTCGGTTCCAGAATCGGTATACTTTTGGAGAAATTCAGATAAACGTTTTCCCTGTTTTACCCGACAGCAAAAATGACCGAAACAGTACCGAGATAAATAATCTATTGGTGTGTTTACATTCACTCCCAGGGAAACTTAAATGCAACAAAGTGAAGACGAATGATGTTACTATGTATGGTAGAAGTGCCAGTTTTTAATTTTGTATTTAGCTTGAGATAGCGAAATAAACATTTCACTCTTTTTTGCGACGTTTTTGTATGAAAATGAGGCCCCAGGCCCCGAACAAGCAGCCGTTGTTACCATGGCAACAAGAGTGCTGCAACCTTTAAAAAGGGCATTTTTGTGCATCCCCCCTGAGTGCCTAACTGCATGCAAAATTTGAAGGGGCGTTGAAAATTTTCATTTCCTAAGATGTTTGATTCTTACAGAGACTTGTTCTTAATGATGGAAACAAATTTGTAGAAAGGAGGGATAAGTCATCGCGTTCCGCGTGCAAAATCTCAAGAGAAACTCTAAGAATTCTTTCAGAGTGTATGTGTGTTGTTTTATAAATAACACTGTAACGTATCTCAACTTGTTTGTGTGTCCTAACTAACTGAAGGTACCTTGTAACTTGTAGCAAGATAGAATTCTGTGAAATGTACACTTTCGATTGCTGTCCACAGGGGTGGTCTAACCAAAGATCATTTTTGGCTTGTGGCGACGCAGTAAAAGAGAATTGGAGAACAACTAAACTACTTTTGAAACATGTGTCCTAAACCCTTTTCATGGGCAAAAAATAAAAGACAACTTTTCTTTCGACGGGAAGTCGAGATGACCGCTTTCAGCGAGAGCGGCTCTTGATAAGTGATTCTCTCCGCTTCAGCTAAACTACCCTGAGGTAAAAAATTAATTTCAGAATGGTATCAAAATATCGGCATTCAATTAAAGGATAGAATTCTCTTGGATGTCTTAGATTTCAAGACTCTTGCGGCTGATTTCGTATTTAAATTAGACCAAACTTGAAAATATCCTGCCAGTAAAACCACATTATTGAGAGACTTGTTCGGCTCAAAGGGAAAAACGGTCAACGTCCTCCAAATATATGTTGCCTCTTGTTTCACGAAGTTAAGTGCCCAATATAATGTTATAATTTTCAGTCTTGTCAAGATCAGAGCTGAGATTGATATCAACATTTTCGTTTAGTTTCCACTTGGGTGAGAATTTCGCGCAAAAATAGGAGAGATGAGACAGGAAAAAAAAAGGAAAAAAAATGGTTGGAAGCGACGGGGTGGATTACCAAACTCAATCTTCCTTCTATAGACTGGCTGGGAAACATATCAAGTTAGTTTCTATCTAATTAGTTTATTTAAATGCCTCTGATCTAGGTGACGCTTTTCTTTGCTAACACGGAATTACACTCCATTGAATAGCATTGTTAATCATGCATGTAACAAAAACGACTCACAGCTTGGGGAATGACATTCCTTTATTAGACCGTGGACAGCTTAGCTTATGTCAAGCACAAAATTGCAACCTTGAATTTAACTTAACTTTAACTTCTTAACTATAGCTAGATTGCTTCAATCACTTCCACTCTGTCTTCTTCTGAATTGCTTCAGTGTGAAGGTGAAGCACGCATGCTCTTGATGGGGCTAGTAAGCTCCATACTTTTCAGGCTTGGATAAGAATTCCCAGGTTGCAAATAGACGGGAGTTCCTTGGTAGCCGGTGTTTGAGAACGCCTGCCACTGGCTTTGATCATCTCCGATCTTCACGGAGGACGCCCCTTTGGTAAGGTTTGTTGGAGCTTTAGTTAGGTCCGGGCTGTCCGCGGTAAGAGGCTATGGCGAGAAACCATATGAACCCAAGATCTGATCAGTAATTCTACCTTTTAGAGAGTATGCATTTACTAGTACAGAAGTTAAGAAAATTGGGCTTTATACTTTAAAAAGCCTTCCTTCAACTGATCATTCTATCAATTTTCTTCACGTGCTTTCTGGATAATTTGTCGTAAGTAAAGCTTTAAAAGTACTTCAAAAGACGACCTGGGTTACTACATAAAACTCTATCATCCTTTCCTAAAACTGTCGAAAGCTTTTTCGAGTAAGTAATAGATACTGAAACAAAATCTTTCGTTAAAACGGTTTTGTACAATATCATAATCAAAAAAAATCTATGGCCAACGTGTGGATAAAGTAATGTGGAAATGAAACATGTATATCAACTTGCTTGTAGTGGTCCTGTAGCATTTAAGGTTGCGTTACTAGTATGGAATTTTTGGCTCCCTTTTCGACCATAAATCCTTTGAATTGATTATGTTTATAACACGAAAAATTTGCTTAGGGTTGCTTAGGGTTAGAATTTGGGTCGGTATGTTCTTGGAGACTCAAACTCTTTCTGAAGATGTGTTATTTAATAGAAGAAGATCAATTATTTTGATCAAAACTTGCGTTGTAAAGATTAAAGTAACTGAAAGAACTCTAAAAAAAGTCTCAAGAATTTATCGGTCTCACTTTGTGACTTGGCTCGAGTCACGGAGAAATCCAGAATGATCATGGCAACCATCCAACTTCGCAGAATAATAAACGCATGCCTCAGGCGTTCTACAAAACCAGTACAAAATGAAATCCTGCGTTTATCAAATTTCCGGTAGCAAAATTTATCAAATTTAGACGCTACAATTAAAATCTTTCTTTGCCTTCACGAGCCAAATTCGCCTATTTTCCGTTCCTATGTCACATTTCACCTCACCCTCAATAAATTTTTGCATTTGAACGCGATGATCTTTGTTTGCAAGGTTCTCTCCCGCTTACATCTGATAACAAACCTCTTGAGTTTTCTGCCTCGGAACAATATACCACAGAACGCATTTCATTTGCGTAACCACACGTTAAAAATGACCATCTGTTCTCATGAAAGATATTCGCTTGCAGAGTGATAATGAGTTAAGTGCATTTTGCGTCACTCGTAAAGCTGTCAAAAGAAACTGCCTTATGTTTTAGGTCCATGCTATTGCATCTTTTCCAACCCTTTTCTATCTAAAGCCTGAGGAAAAAATCTCGCAGTAAATCTCATTTAACTCAATATCTTACCGCTTCTGTTCCGCTATATCCTTCCCCATCAAAAAGCAATATCTGGCTACTCATCTCTGGAAAACAGAACGTAAACAATCTTTTAATCACAAAGGCAAGTATATTACTGCCGAGTCATACGGCTCTTAGTATTCCATACCGCCAGAGCTTATCCCAATTTCCTTAGACGGAAGCCTCTACAGGAGTATTAATACTTATATGATGGAGGGATATCCCACCAATTCGCTAACTTTTCAAGACATTTGCTCTACCTATAAGTCTATAGAAACAACATAATGTGTGCATAAGGGATATAGATGTGGAACATAGATTAGTTAGGAAGACTTTACCTTGAATTTTCACTTCTAAACAGGTCGATGTAACTTCTTTAGCTTCTTGTCAGGTTTGAGGTTGTGAGGGTTGCGCTCTCAATTTATCACTCATAATGACGGTGATGAACGACTTCCAGATATGGTCATAAATCCAGAGACCTGTCAAAAATGTCAAGATCATAGAGGCTCCACCAAATCACCAGATACTGTTCTGTTCCAAGACGTGACACGATGATGGTTCATTTCCCCCTCAGGGGGTGTGTTCAAAGGTCTTACGGCAAATTCAAAACAAAATTGACAGCCACAAGTTCAAATAATTTCGACTTAAGGGAAAAAGCAATGCATACTTTGGAAAAGTTTATGTCTCAATGCACTCTGGCAAAATATCGCCCCTATATTTGGCCGTAACTTTTCAGAAGTCGCTTGGGTAATTAGCTAAGATACTGTTACTCAGTGAAGCTGTACAAACTATGCCTACGTGTTCAGGCATAAATTAACCGTACATCAGAAGCATTTTCTCCTAGGGGGCCGCTTAACAAATACTTAAGAGGTTTATTTTCATTACTTTTGCAAACATAGTGTATCACAAAGCATTAAATGGTCCTTAACCTCCTAGAGTAATAAGAATTTTCTTGCGCAACCGTTGAACACACCCATTTAAGCAAATGAGTTGTTATCTTGTCACTTGTGGGAAAAAAGGAAAAATGTAACAAAATGTCACATCGTCTTTACTTTCAAAATTCTGGTCGCGTTCTCTTTTTCAGAGTTGGACAACTTGATCCTACCTACACCGACAAATACCTCGCTTTCTTGTGAACTTTTATGTAAATTAAACGATCATTTATCGCTATTTAAGGCAAGCAAAAGGCGCCAGAACCTTTTATCCCAACGACTTTTTCTTTCGAACGACCTGTTCCCTTCGTCTGACTTCTTGCCGATATCCGATTAACAAATACTTTAAACTCGAACCAAAGGCTGCGATATCAGATATCAGAAAGATATCAGCAATGGACAACAGTTGTTGACTTTGGGCTGTAAAGCTGTATTAATTAGGTTCAACAATCGTCTATTGCAGGTTCGTCACGAAGGTCATATGGGGTGAACCGTGATCGATCACGAACACAACGGAGGCGGTTAACTCTAAAAATTTGAAAATCATCTAAAAGAATTTAAACAACAACCAGGCCAAGTTGATTAAAACTCAATAGGTTAACCCACGTTTAGTCTTAATTTTTTATTCAGTCTTTTAGCTTTTCAGAAAGTTTTGCTTACAATGTTATTTTCCATCGCTTCTCCGGAAGCTGAAACAAAACCCCTCCAATTGTGAGCCCCTATGATTGCCTTCTTACAAATGAAATCGAAAGCTAGGTTAATTTTCAATCCTGGAAAGTTTTCTATACACTTCTATCGATGAAATGTTTCCTTAAAACCACGGGCTTCTATTCGCTTGACTTTTTCTCAGCATTCAATAGACATCTTCTGTTTACTTTGCTTTTGCTCTCTGTTAATCGAACAGACATAATCAACTCTGGTAAGGGAATCGTAGCGCTCGAAAGGAAGTCTGGGTGAAAGATAATTTTTCTAATTTTTCCTCTGTGATTCTTGACTACAATTTTTTAATTAGGTTGCGTTCTGAGTGAAATTTGTAAGTTACGCGTTGGTACGTGACTGCAGTTATTTGCATCGGGTGAACCGCTATCGACAATGCACGAGCAAAGCTATCAATCGCTACTTACTACATAAAAACAAATTTGACAGCCACAAGTTCAAATCATTAGCCCAAGAAGAAACGCTTACGAATGAAACATGAGAACCACACAATTTTGCCCTAAGCAATGCATACTTTGGATAAGTTTGTGTCTCAATGCACTTAGTCAAAATATCGCCCTTGTGAATTATTTTTCAATAAGTGTATGAGAATCCTTAGTAGAGGAGATGATTGTAATTGCTACATCCAGTTGAAACATTTAGACATTTTGCCCCAGAGCTCATCATGATAGCCGATGGTTTTCTGATAGCTTATAAAGAAAATGAACTATCACTATTTGCAAACATGAAACTCAACAGTTAACACAATTAACTCAGCATTTACGTTACGAGATAGAGAATCCCGAGTTTATTTCAGTAGACAGCATTCTCATCCGCAAGCTTCATTCTTAGACATTTTTCATAATTGATAATGACAATACTGTGGAAGTATTCAAGGTCATGCTTCAGTGCCACAGATAAAGGTGTGCCTCACTGATTACTGGTACAAGAAACTGGATTCCAGTACATAAAAGCATTCGCGATACAAGTTATGAAAGAAAACCAATATCCCGGCGTAGCTTTCAAAAAGTCGCTTTGGTAATTAGCTAAGGTACTGTTACTCAATGAAGCTGTATAAACTACGCGTACATATTCAGGCATAAATTAAGAGCACATCAAAAACATTTTCTCTCAGGGAACCGCTTAACAAATACTTAAGAGGTTTATTTTCATTACTTTTGCAAACATAGTGTATCACAAAGCATTGAATGTGTGGGTGATCAGCTTTTCAGTTAATGATGTAGGTAGCCTTGATGAAGAGATATCGGCAATGGACAACAGTTGTTGGCTTTAAGCTGTAAAGCTGTATTAATTGGGTTTAACAATCCACTATTACAGGTTTGTCACGAAAGTCATATGAGGTGAACCGTGATCAACCATGAACACAACGGAGGCGGTAAACACTCCAACAATTTGAAAATTAAAAGAAAAATTTATACCATCAACTCAACGTTAACGTTCACGTTACAAGATAGAAAATTCCGAGTTTATTTTAGTAGACGGCATTCTTGTCCGCAAGCTTGATTATAAGACATTTTTGACAGTTGAAAATGACAATACTGTGGAGGTATTCAAGGTCATGCTTCAGTGCCAAAGATAAAGGTGGTATGCCTCACTGATTACTGGCACAAGAAACTGGATGCCAGTGCAGAAAAGCATTCGCGATACAAACTATAAAAGAAAACCAATATTCGGCCTTAGTTTTCCAAAAGTCGCTTTGGTAATTAGCAGATATATTGTTACACAGCAAAGCTGTATAAACAACGCGTACATGTTTAGGCATAAATTAACCACACATCAAAAACATCCCTCCCACTGGATCGCTTAACAAAAGCTTAGGAGGTTTATTTTCGTTATTCTTGCAAACATAGTGTATCACAAAGCTTTGAATGGTCTTTAATCTTGGCATGTTAACCTCCTAGATAAGCAACCGTGGAACACACCCCTTTAGACAAATAAGTCGTTATCTTGTCGCTTGTGGGAAAAAAGGAAACAGTCACGTCGTGTACTTTCAAAAGTTTGGTTGCTTTTCGTTTTTCAGAGTTTGACAACATGACAGAATCGACAGTAACCTTGTGGGAGGGGGGGAAGGGAATATGTTCGAGGACGTGAAGTGATGAGATATCGAAAGATCATAAAAACTCAGCTTAATGAACTGATGTTGACCACCTTTTATTTGGCCTGCTACATTGGTGTGAAACAGAAATAGACTCACAATAGATATGTCCATGGCTTTGTTTATTGTTCGAAAAAAAAATGTCGTGATTTAACAAACTTGTAATGGTTAGTTAATTTTTTTTTTCGGATATATCAACTGTTAACAAAAGGAAACTCGTTGTAACAGGCTTCTGAGCATCTCAGTAAACTTGTTGATGGCCATTTATCAGAACAGCCGATAGTCATCCATGGCATCACTGTCGAAACAATCTTTCTGCAAGCATTTTGAGATTCTGTTTTATGCTGAAATTCTCTTTCATTGTTTATCTATGAAAATGGTGAGAGTCGAAAGCGAGGTATTTGTCGGTGTGGGTAGGTCTATCGTTAACCTACCCGCACTGATAGATACCTCACTTTCTCGTCAACTTTAATATAAATTAAACGATCATTTATCGCTATTTAAGGGAAGCAAAAGGCGGCCGGAACCTTTTGTCCCAACGAATTTTTTCTTTCAAACGACCTGTTCCCTTCTTCTGATTTCTTGCCAGTATCCGATAAACAACTACTTTAAACTCGAACCAAAGGCTGCGATATCAGATATCAGAAAGATATCAGCAATGGACAACAGTTGTTGACTTTGGGCTGTAAAGCTGTATTAATTGGGTTTAACAATCGTCTATTGCAGATACGTCACGAAGGTCATATGAGGTGAATCGTGATCGATCACGAACACAACGGAGGCGGTAAACTCTGTAAAAATTTGAAAATTAGCTAAGAGAATTCAAACAACAACCAGGCCAAGTTGATTAAAACTCAATAGGTTAACCCACGTTTAGTCTTAATTTTTTATTCAGTCTTGTAGCTTTTCAGAAAGTTTTCCTTACAATGTTGTTTTCCATCGCTTCTCCGGAAGCTGAAATAAAACCCCTCCAAATGTGAGCCCTTATGATTGCCTTCTTACAAATAAAATCAAAAGCTAGGTTAATTTTCAATTCTGGAAAGTTTTCTGTACACTTCTTTCGATGAAATGTTTCCTTAAAACCACGCGCCTCATTCGCTTGACTTTTTCTCAGCATTCAATAGACATCTTCTGTTTACTTTGCTTTTGCTTTCTGTTAATCGAACAGACATAATCAACTCTGGTAAGGAAATCGTAGCGCTCGAAAGGAAGTCTGAGTGAAAGATAATTTTCCTAATTTTTCCTCTGTAATTCTTGACTAAAATTTTTTAATTAGGTTGCGTTCTGAGTGAAATTTGTAAGTTACGCGTTGGTACGTGACTGCAGTTATTTGCATCGGGTGAACCGCCATCGACAATGAGCAAAGCTACCAATCGCTACTTACTACATAAAAACAAATTTGACAGCCACAAGTTCAAACAATTAGCCCAAGAAGAACCGCTTACGAAGCAAACACGAGAACCACACAATTTTGCCCTAAGCAATACATACTTTGGATAAGTTTGTGTCTCAATGCACTCAGTTAAAATATCGCCCCTGTGAATTATTTTTCAATAAGTGTATGAGAATCCTTAGTAAAGGAAATGATTGTAATTGCTACATCCACTTGAGACATTTAGACATTTTGCCCCAGAGCTCATCATGATAGCCGATGGTTTTCTGATAGCTTATAAAGAAAATGAACTATCACTATTTGCAAACATGAAACTCAACAGTTAACACAATTAACTCAGCATTTAAGTTACAAGATAGAGAATCCCGAATTTATTTAAGTAGACAGCATTCTCATCCGCAAGCTTCATTCTTAGACATTTTTCATAATTGATAATGACAATACTGTGGAAGTATTCAAGGTCATGCTTCAGTGCCACAGATAAAGGTGTGCCTCACTGATTACTGGTACAAGAAACTGGATTCCAGTACATAAAAGCATTCGCGATACAAGTTATAAAAGAAAACCAATATCCGGGCGTAGCTTTCCAAAAGTCGCTTTGGTAATTAGCTAAGGTACTGTTACTCAGTGAAGCTGTATAAACTACGCGTACATATTCAGGCATAAATTAAGAGCACATCAAAAACATTTTCTCCCAGGGAACCGCTTAACAAATACTTAAGAGGTTTATTTTCATTACTTTTCTAAACATACTGTATCACAAAGCATTGAATGGTCTCTAACCTCCCAGATAAACAAGAATGTTCTTGCACAACCACTGAACACACCCCTTTAGGCAAACGAGTCATTATCTTGTCACTTGTGGGAAAAAAGGAAAAATGTTACACAAAATGTCACATCGTCTTTACTTTTAAAATTTTGGTCGCGTTCTCTTTTTCAGAGTTGGACAACTTAATCCTACCTACACCGACAATTACCTCAATTTCTAGTGAACTTAAATAGAAATTAAACAATCGTTTATCGCAATTAAAAGCAAGCAAAAGGCAGAACCTTCTATGGCAAGGAACTTTCTTCCAAACGACCCGTTCTCTTCCTCTGATATATTGCCAATATCCGATTAACAACTACTTTAATCTCGAACCAAAGGCTGCGGTTTTTACTCTGCTCACTGAACACAGGTGTTTAGCTGGAGGGAAATTTTGCGGTGAGAATGACATGAGTGTTTACGATCGACAGGATGGGTGGTTTTCTTTTCTTATTTCTTAAAAGGGTTAGAATTTGGCGCAAGATGGCAGCCGAGCGTGAACAGTAAGGTCATAATGGCGGCGAATTTGTCAGAGACATGAATAACAGAAAGAACTGCAGAAGTTATCGCTGAAACTTCACCGACATAAACAAATTCAGGGAGTTCAAGAATTCTAACATGGACCTTTCTGTGGATAACCCTGCCGAAATAAAATCAACGTGTGAGACAGAAAGGATCCGAAAGAATCGATTGAATCATAAGTAACCTTATTCTCAGAATTATCCGTGATTTGTCTTATTTGACACTATCTACGTAGCTACCTACATAGGGGAAGCTAAGAACTTAAAGGGAAATTCGAAAAAGAAACTGAATACAAACATATCCTAGTTCTTTGGCGGCGACCAGAAGCAATTTTGTTTGATGGGTTTTGCACACATCAATAATTTTGAAATTCAGTTTTGTGTAGTTAGGGCACTTTTCGCTCTAAGAGGGGATCATATTCGTCCGGGGTGATGAAATCAATCAATGTTGATCCTCAACAGTGAGAGGAAACAAGTTGCAATAAACTTGCTCTAGTACTCAACAGCTCGGAATATAAGTCTCGCAAAATGCCGAGAGCTCTTTTAGTATTAACCTGTTAATATTCCAAAAGCAAAACTATCAAAACTGTAAAACGAGTATGTGTGGGTGACCAGCTTTTCAGTTAATGATGTAGGTAGCCTTGTTCAAGAGATATCAGCAATGGACAACAGTTGTTGGCTTTAAGCCGTAAAGCTGTATTAATTGGGTTTAACAATCCACTATTGCAGGTTTGTCACCAAAGTCATATGAGGTGAACCGTGATCAACCACGAACACAACGGAGGCGGTAAACACTCTAACAATTCGAAAATTAAGAGAAAAATTTATACGATCAACTCAACATTAACGTTCACGTTACAAGATAGAGAATTCCGAGTTTATTTTAGTAGACGGCATTCTTGTCTGCAAGCTTGATTAAAAGACATTTTTGACAGTTGAAAATGACAATACTGTGGAAGTATTCAAGGTCATGCTTCAGTGCCAAAGATAAAGGCCTCACTGATTACTGGTACAAGAAACTGGATGCCAATGCAGAAAAGCATTCGCGATACAAACTATGAAAGAAAACCAATATTCGGCCTTAGCTTTCCAAAAGTCGCTTTGGTAATTAGCAGATATATTGTTACACAGCCAAGCTGTATAAACTACGCGTACATGTTTAGGCATAAATTAACCGCACGTCAAAAACATCCCTCCCACTGGATCGCTTAACAAAAGCTTAGGAGGTTTATTTTCGTTATTCTTGCAAACATAGTGTATCACAAAGCTTTGAATGGTCTTTAATCTTGGCATGTTAACCTCCTAGATAAGCAACCGTGGAACACACCCCTTTAGACAAATAAGTCATTATCTTGTCGCTTGTGGGAAAAAAGGAAACAGTCACGTCGTGTACTTTCAAAAGTTTGGTTGCTTTTCGTTTTTCAGAGTTTGACAACATGACAGAATCGACAGTAACCTTGTGGGAGGGGGTAAGGGAATATGTTCGAGGACGTAAAGTGATGAGATATCGAAAGATCATAAAAACCCAGCTTAATGAACTGATGTTGACCACCTTTAATTTGCTACATTAGTGTGAAACAGAAATAGACCCACAATAGATATGTCCATTTCTTTGTTTATTGTCCGAAAAAATTGCCGTGATTTAACAAACTTGTAATAGTTAATTTAGTTTTTTTTTTCAGATATATCAATTGTTAACAAAAGGAATCTCGCTGTAACAGGCTTCCGAGAATCTCAGTAAACTTGATGGCCATTTATCAGAACAGCCAATAGTCATCCATGGCATCACTGTCGATACAATCTTTCCGCCAGCATTTAGATTCTGTTTTGTGCTGAAATTCTCTTTCATTGTTTATCTATGAAAATGGTGAGAGTCGAAAGCGAGGTATTTGTCGGTGTGGGTAGGTCTATCGTTAACCTACCCGCACTGATAGATACCTCACTTTCTCGTCAACTTTAATATAAATTAAACGATCATTTATCGCATTTAAGAGAAGCAAAAAGCGGCCGGAACCTTTTGTCCCAACGAATTTTTCTTTCAAACGACCGGTTCCCTTCGTCTGACTTCTCGCCAATATCCGATAAACAACTACTTTAAACTTCAGGCTGCGATATCAGATATCAGAAAGATATCAGCAATGGACAACAGTTGCTGACTTTGGGCTGTAAAGCTGTATTAATTGGGTTTAACAATCGTCTATTGCAGGTTCGTCACGAAGGTCATATGAGGTGAAGCGTGATCGATCACGAACTCAACGGAGGCGGTAAACTATGTAAAAATTTGAAAATTAGCTAAAAGAATTCAAACAACAACCAGGCCAAGTTAATTAAAACTCAATAGGTTAACCCACGTTTAGTCTTAATTTTTTATTCAGTCTTGTAGCTTTTCAGAAAGTTTTGCTTACAATGTTGTTTTCCATCGCTTCTCCGGAAGCTGAAACAAAACCCCTCCAATTGTGAGCCCTTATGATTGCCTTCTTACAAATGAAATCAAAAGCTAGGTTAATTTTCAATTCTGGAAAGTTTTCTATACACTTCTATCGAAGGAATGTTTCCTTAAAACCACGCGCTTCTATTCGCTTGACTTTTTCTCAGCATTCAGTAGAAATCTTCTGTTTACTTTGCTTTTGCTCTCTGTTAATCGAACAGACATAATCAACTCTGGTAAGGGAATCGTAGCGATCGAAAGGAAGTCTAGGTGAGAGATAATTTTCGTAATTCCTCCTCTGTAATTCTTGACTAAAATTTAATTAGGTTGCGTTCTGAGCGAAATTTGTAAGTTACGCGTTGGTATGTGACTGCAGTTATTTGCATCGGGTGAACCGCCATCGACAATGAGCAAAGCTACTAATCGCTACTTACTACATAAAAACAAAATTGACAGCCACAAGTTCAAATAATTAGCCCAAGAAGAACCGCTTACGAAGCAAACATGAGAACAACACAATTTTGCCCTAAGCAGTGCATACTTTGGATAAGTTTGTGTCTCAATGCACTCAGTCAAAATATCGCCCCTGTGAATTATTTTTAAATAAGTGTATGAGAATCCTTAGTAAAGGAGATGATTGTAATTGCTACATCCAGTTGAAACATTTAGACATTTTGCCCCAGAGCTCATCATGATAGTCGATGGTTTTCTGATAGCTTATAAAGAAAATTAACTATAACTATTTGCAAACATGAAACTCAACAGTTTATACGATTAACTCAGCATTTAAGTTACGAGATAGAGAATCCCGAGTTTATTTAAGCAGACAGCATTCTCATCCGCGAGCTTCATTCTTAGACATTTTTCATAATTGATAATGACAATACTGTGGAAGTATTCAAGGTCATGCTTCAGTGCCACAGATAAAGGTGTGCCTCACTGATTACTGGTACAAGAAACTTGTGGGAAAAAAGGAAACAGTCACGTCGTCTACTTTCAAAAGTTTGGTTGCTTTTCGTTTTTCAGAGTTTGACAACATGACAGAATCGACAGTAACCTTGTGGGAGGGGGGGTGAAGGGAATATGTTCGAGGACGTAAAGTGATGAGATATCGAAAGATCATAAAAACTCAGCTTAATGAACTGATGTTGACCACCTTTAATTTGGCCTGCTACATTAGTGTGAAACAGAAATAGACTCACAATAGATATGCCCATTTCTTTGTTTATTGTTCGAAAAAAAATGTCGTGATTTAACAAACTTGTAATGGTTATTTTAGATTTTTTTGGATATATCGACTGTTAACGAAAGGGAACTCGTTGTAACATACCTCTGAGCATTTCAGTAAACTTGTTGATGGCCATTTATCAGAACAGCCAATAGTCATCCATGGCATCATTGTCGAAACAATCTTTCCGCCAGCATTTAGATTCTGTTTTGTGCTGAAATTCTCTTTCATTATTTATCGATGAAAATGGTGAGAGTCGAAAGCGAGGTATTTGTCGGTGTGGGTAGGTTTATCGTTAACATACCCACACCAATGGATTCCTTACTTAAAATGGGTGGTTTACTTTTCTTATTTCTTAAAAGGGTTAGAATCTGGCGCAAGATGGCAGCCAAGCGTGAACAGTACGGTCATAATGGCGGCAAATTTGTTCAAGACATGAATAACAGAAAGAAGAAATAAAAATTTATCCATGCAGTGTTCTTAGTTAAACTTTCTTTCAGTGATCCTTTTCAGTCAAAAATGCTTTCCGGCCTCTATAATTCGGTACAAATAATTTCAATGGAATTTCTCTGATTACATTCTCGTTTCTGTTCTATCTACATTTGCCATGATTCTGCTTTGCAGATTCTCATTGACAGATCTGTATTCTAATTGTCAAGGAAAATTTCAATGAAAGCCGGAAGATATTGTCGAGCGAATACCATTCTGTCCATCAAAACTATTGTGTGTGTTCATGCAACTGATCCACGCTTCATAAGGAATGAATATTTTAAGAGTTTTTAAGGGGAAACCGTTCTGACTGCTATGAAGTACTTAGTTAGTTCAGTATAATTTGGTCATTCGTTAATATTTAGCATGTAGTCACTGTATGAATTAAAAGTCCGAAGTTATTTCGGTTTAAGCTCTCGCTACGAGTTTCCAAATTAACTGTCTTGTCTATCTTCCTTCAGTACAAGTGCTTAGCTTGTCTACTGATCTTGCTTTAGATCCACACGAAAGTTCTTGTTTTAGCTGACACAGTCAAAGATGGATTCAGTTGATCGGAAGCATTCAGTATACATTGTTGTGCATTTGTGAGATTCTTGTAAAAGTGTTTGGGTTAGTGATCTAACAACAAATGTTTAATATTCAAGGTCAGTCAGCTAGCATGGCCACTCATGCCTATACCGATAGTGAATATATAGGCATGTACTTTAAAGTTCACATAGTGGTTAGTAAGAAGTAAAAGAGTGAGATTCAGCCGGTGAGAATCAAAGAGTTAGAATCAGAGAGAGATCAATCAGAGTTACAGTCAGAGTGAAGTAAAATTGATGTAAGTAGAATTGTATATTAGAGAACAGAGAGATTAAAAAGGACTGAGAAACGACAGGTAGTCTAGTGTTAACTACTGAGTTGAAAACATAAATTCGCCACCGTAATGAGTGAAAAGGCTGACGTTTCGAGCGTTAGCCCTTCGTTGGATCGCTCTGACGAAGGGCTAACGCTCGAAACGTCAGCCTTTTCACTCCACGGTGACCAATTAACGTTTTCAACTCACTTGTTACTCTCCCACCGACGCAGCACCACAGTTTTCTTAGAAACTTACCTCCTTCACTGACAAAAGACAGACCGAGAGTCCTTGGTGCCTTTCGTAAAAGGGTGTTGAGGTCTGCAGCTAGTTTTACCGTCACTGCAACCCAACATAACAATAAAGTCCGGGTAGAAAAACACCAAAGAGATGCTAGCGAACCAAAAGCGGTTAACGACGGTTTAGGAAGGTGAAGCCGGATTGACAGGAATAGAAAATGAAGAAATGAATAATTCAAGCTAAATTTTACAAGATACTAGCTGCCAAGAATATCTCAGCCTTTCAAGGATCAAAGCTGTTAACATAATTCTAATGGTGGTGGACACTCAGGTATCTTTCCAAGCACAAAACTGTCCGCCCTGAAGGCCTGCATATCTTCTTCACTACAACTCAAAGGTACAGTTGTTGACTGTTCCATTGATGAGGTGGCTTCTGGAGTAGATCTCTGTAGAGAGAACAAAAATCAAAACAAGTTCAAGCCCGTTATTCCCACTGCATTAAGTCTTCTTTCCCCAAATTTCATGTCGCAAAAAAACTCGCCAATTTGATTCATAAACTTTCGATTCACTACATGAATATGTAATTTCTGCTAAAAGTTATTTAGCCATAGTTATTACCAAACAATGCCATTTTATTCGTACAGCAGTGAATACGAAACAGCACAAAAATCTCTGGTCTTTTCACAAGGGTGCTGCCACCAAAACAGCGCTGAAATACATGCACAACACATTCTTGGTTTTTGCATTCAACATTTTTCTCTCATGGAGAAAAATTCAAACTTGTTAATGACAATAATGATGTAAGGATGAAAAATTTAAACTTGATAATGACTAACCAAAGAGATCACAAACAGACACGATCTATAACTTTCTCGTATCTTTCGCTCGAAGATTTCAACTGAACTTCTGGTTTTAGACTCTTGACAAAATATACGAAATGAAGTAATGTTATATTGTCTAAAAGTAACGATCGTATCGATTTATAAACACAAAATCATGATTCCATTGAAAGTTTTATGGATGCGACAAGAATGACAAAGAAAGCGAGCTAAAAGGGCACCTCAAAAGACTTCATTCGCATATAGACCTGCCTTTATCAAGATCCAGCAAGTAAAGACTACCTTCATATCTTTGGAAGCGATTGCTCAGAAAGGAAAAAAATAAAGTCGCAAAACTGGAGTTAAATTACTTTCCTGTGTTCTAACTGACCCTTTGAAATGGGAAAAAGCTTTAGTCCTTTCAGTGCTAAGATCTGAGAGCACATTCCCGAAACATATCGCCATAATTTCATTCTTAGCTTAAGTTGAGAATTCTGTATTCGATCAAAGGAGCAGCCCTTATTTGATAATACTTTTCATTCTCTTTAACTGCTTGCGAAGCATTGTATCGAGATCATGTGGAGAATTGAAATATTGATCTTACCAGGAGTGAAAGGGTTAAGAAACTGGGCGGCACAGTGTTGGCTTTAGACTCATATTCCTTGTATTTTCTTTTCTGTTTCATTCTCAACGTGCAAGCTGAACAAGGTGTAAGTTTTGCTTCAATGTAAAATTGTAGTGATAAAACAATGGGTGCATTCTCCTTCGGGCAAAACAAATTCAATTATTAGCTGGATATGACTCTGGGCGAAACGATTCCCAGCAAAATGACCAGCTATCTTTGCTTTCAAAGGTTTACGTTTTCTCCGAGGGAAAGTAGTTTATTAAGGGTTCCTTGTCACGAGGCACATTGAGAGCAATCACTCCCTTTCACCCCTGGGATGAAACACTGGACCAGCTCAGCTTACCCACCAACACCCTCCACGAGAAAAAATTGTCAGGCCCTAGGCCAGTTTGTGAAATTAAAGTAACAGCTTTGCTCCTCTGTTTTTGCTGCTGTTAAAAATGACCAGATACACCTACCATTGAGCTGCTTGATCCATTGCCTTTCTGTACTTGGGATTCACTCGGAAAAACCCCAGTCACTGTCTGCGAAGGTACAGAACCAAACACTCCAGGTTTTGATTCAGTTTTTACTCCAAAGAAGCCAGTATTTGAAGCGGCTGATTGGCTTAAGTTTGTACTAAACATAGTCGTGGAATGGCCAGTTAAAGGAAAACTGGTCATTCCAGTTTGCTGATTGCTGGCACTTAAAGTATTCCCAAAAACATTTCCAGTCATTGCTGGGATATTGCTCTGTCCAAACAGGTTTACTTGATTGGTAGAATTACTTGTGCTGAATAAGTTACTAGGTTGGTTCAATGTAGCTGCTGGAGATGGGAAGCCAGTCGACTGAAAAACAGGGCCACTAGTTGCAAAACTACTCATCTGACCAAATGAACTATGTCCATTAAAACCTATCCCTGGTTGTGTCTGTAGCATTGATGATCCTGCTTCCATTGACTCTGCTGCCTTATGGCTGCGCTGCTTCTTTATCTCTTCTTGCTGATAATGAAAAACAAAATTGTCCAAGTGTTTCAAAAAGAACATATCACTATAATTATATTCAATGACCTACAACTGAAACACGCACATAGGCTTAGGGAGTCTCCACAGATATCAGGACTATATTTTTTTATACAATCTTTATTGAGGGAACCAACATTACAATAAGTGGTTTACAGAATGGTCCTCACAACATATCATCACATTTAAATGATGGTAGTGACAAGCAACTCTGGGCATTTATCAATCTGTAATATCCAGTAATTAAACACTAGAAAGGCCCATTCATGACACTGACATCAATCATCCCCGTTAGTGCATGGAGGATAACTCACAACTTTCTCATCACTATTTTCAAAGATAGACAAAACTGTTTGTTGCTATATGTGTTCAAGGAAAGAATACTGTATAAAAGGTTTATTATTTGAGCTTACAATCTGTGAGACTGACATGCGTCCTAACTGCTGCCGCTTTTGTTGATTAGCAGTGATAAGAGTTTTCAGTCCTTGTTGCTGTAAACAAAACCAAAAATTGGATAATTAGAGTGAGTTTGAAATATCTGAGGAAATATTGATTCAACCCCATGTCAGAACAAATATCTCTTCCTTAAAATTCTGAGTTATGAATCTTAACCCCTAACCCCTAAGAGTGACTAGCATCTAAATTCCCCCTACAGTAACAACTCTGAATAAAAAATTTATGAAATTTAAGGAATGGATTGCCGAATAAAGCTCTTACTTGTGAAACAAATTCTCCTTGTCAGCAACATAGGAAATGTATAGAGAACAGTATAGAGAATAAGCATGTTTATGTTACAGTGTAAAGGATTAAAGTAAAATCCAGATATAGATCATCTTACATAGCTACCAGCCTTCCCTTCAGCATTTGCATTGTATGCCTCAAGGCGAATTTCTTCTGGAGAGAAGTCCAGCAAACCTAAAATAACATTCATAACACAAGGCATCATTCAGTAATAATTTAACACAAGTACCACATAACTTTTCAAAAGGCTACAATCTTATAGCTGTGACAGCATGCCTGATAAAGTCACCTGTTAACTTTAAAATTTCAGGCCCCACACCTCGCTACAGAGAATATATTTACAGTAAGAGTAAGAAAACTGTAACTTCTGAAAACATTTCTGGATGGGGAGACAATTCAACCAGGTGTGAGAAATCTTCACTGTATTCAGTCACATTCATTGATCTGCGGTTTAATGGTTTGCTGACATGTCCTGATCTCCTACGTGATTGGTTAGAGTTCAATAAACATTTCAAGCACTTTTCAGGTGTTCATAGTTCTTTTTTAAACACTTTAACTCCCAAAATCTGATTGTTAATTCTCCCCTCTGATGGCTACACATTTGCTTGTAAATTAGTTTGGAGAATTTGGTATCAGTTCAAAATAACAACTTCCACCTGATAAGTTTAAGTATTATTATTACCTGTTTGTTGGATAATATATGGATGTTGTTAGGAGAAATTACCTGTTAATCACTCCTGGGAGTTAAAGGGTTAACTTGGGTGGTACTCCTAAAGTAGATTGGAAAACACAATACAATTGGGGGGGGCCCAGAGAAGGGGCTGTGACAGAAGCTATTGCAATCCACCTATAATATGTTCAAACAAAAGGCCAATTAAACAGCCTTAAGAGTGGATTGTGCCATAAAACTTCATACCAACTCACCTGGTAAGCATGGTTCTTCCTTTATGTAAGTGAAACAAGACAATGGCCATTGTTTACTCTTTTCCCATATTGCCAATTCAGTTTGTATGGTTCTTCTATTAATTTAAAGAAAAAATCCAAACTTAGATTTGAGAACCAACAAAGGAGTATCTGTTGATGCTCAGTTTGTTAAACAAACTGAGCATCAATTCTGTGAGTAGCATTTTCTTATGTAGCGTCACTTTCCTGAGTGGTGATAAAATGCTAGCCAATAGAAGACTACACATTCTCCCATTTTGCCAAAGGGTTGAGAGGCATTGTTGTGGGCCTTAAGATTAGTTTAAATCACATTTAGTGACATGCATCTTTAAAACAACATACTCATCTTACTGAATTTGAGATGGTGTCATATCATCCTCCACACCTTTAGAATGCTGAGTTTCTCTGGACAAAACATCAAAGCGGTTCTATACACGCACAGAGGCAACAAAAAAGTATCAATCATCGATGTTAAGAAAAGCAACTGATATTGTTCATTATAAACTACCAGTTCATATTTTATGACTATTTTGACCATAAACAGCTTGTTTTAAAAGATTCAGGCTACAAATTGTTCCTCAGTTTTTAGGTCACATTCTAAAAAGCTCCAAATTTTTAAAATGTATTGATGTAACTTTTTCTACAGAAGAACATGGTTCTGAATTTTTTCTTGTTTCTTCAACTAGTAGTCCTTTTTTTTTTTTTTTTTTTTAAAGAATTAACCTTTGTAAACTATGTCCATATTTTGCGCTATCTGAACTGTTCTGAATTGCATGTGTTGTAAACAAAAGTTGCGTAAATAAATTGAGAAAATTTAGAGCCCTTTCAAAATGATCAAAAACAAGGGGTGACCTTTTCAATCCAAACTCTCGGATAGGGAAACTTACGATGGAAAAGACACTAGTCATTTAATAAAAATCTGGATTTTTCTATATATTTCTTGTTTATTTACCTGGTTAGATGGATAAGATTTGCCCCATTGCCCACTTCTTCCACTGAATCCTGAATTCTGTTGACCGAATCCAGTATTTGCTGCAAATTAACACACAACATTTATTAAGTGGATCAGTATTTTTTATCTTTAGTTAGTAAACTCAACTCTATGTATAACTTCGTAATTTTAGTTTTTCTGATGACTTAGCTTGAAGCTACAAAAAAAATAAAAAATACTCGTACATGTAAATGCACAGATCCGAGTTGAGATATACAAAAACATTCGATTTGCACAATATTCTAAAATAATATGACAATTACCTCTTCCAGAAGGATGTTCATTCCTGCATTTGTCACCAAACCGACAATAACCATTCAAAAAATGCTGGCAAACTGTTTTCCGTTTTTCTGTTGAAAAACGAGGAATATCGATATCAAATTATATTTGTAATAGCAAACTTTTCAAATGAAGAACCGCGTGAAGGAACCATGGAGCTTACCTGCAGTATGTTCATTACGGCAACTATCTCCAAATCGGCACTCGCCCTTTAAGAAATATTGACAAACAACCATGACCAAACAAGGTGAAGGAGATGATAACTTTGTCAAAATACGGCAGCCATTTTACATTATCCGCTGGTCAAAAAGAAAGTCTGTTACAGGGACTCGTACTCAGGCTACCAGCAAAAAAGTTCATTTCCACCTTGAAGCTTTCTCTGGTTCTACAGTTATAGAGAGGAGAGTTGTGAATCAGATCCTGGGGGTTAAAGGGCTAAAAACTGTATTAGAAACTTGGATCATTGCCAGTATTTGAGAAACCTGCACCCACACTTCTCTTCACCCAACAACAGTCAACTGATAACAAGTGATTAATTAAATGGGGGTGGATTATTTACCTCTCCTATGCAAATTGCAGATGTGAAAGTGGTGAATGTAATCTGTAATTTTTTTCTACAGAATATCCCTAACAGCTTTTTAAAAATTATATATTGAAGTAAAACGAAGAGGATGTATTATAAATACACAGTCCTGCAAGATGTTTAGTGGCACAGTCATAGCAATAGGCACAGTAGTGTCCTGGGTTTGCAAAACACAGTTTTCACAGAGCATGTACTCACCAGACTTTGATGCACCAGTTTTGATCACATGGATCTCCAAAATATGGATGGTGTTAGTGTTTCCAATTTACTCTCTTCTAGGCTTGCTCTAAGGAAAACAGATGCTTTTATTATGCAGGTTTGTGCAATCCTTCAACCATTTTCTTATTTTTTTATATGTAAGTGTGAGAGACTGGGGAGATGCCCTTTCTTAATGGTTAAGATGCCAGACCTGGCTGGAGAGGTCTGGGTTCAAGACCTAGTCTCTTGCTCGGGCAAAACATGTTACTCTAAAAGTGCCTCTTTGTCCACCCAGTAGTAGAAATGGTTACCAGCAAATGTTCAGGGAAGTCTGATGAAATTCTGGGGTGTACCTTGCAATCGACTGGTATCCTATCCAGGGAGAAGTAGTAATACTCTTTCAAGGAGAGTGAAAAGGTATTTGGTAGTCAAGGTCTCCACCTGATGTCTCTATTGACGCATGCTGGCCCATTCTGCCTCACATGAGTAGTGACCAATCACTTGTACGTGCGTACACTTGGTATCATTCATGCTGCTGATGTTGCTGCTTTGTTCTCATCTTCTAATGCTTTTGTATACTTCTTATCATGGAGCTGGTTAAAGGAGGAGCTTTATATTTTTAAGGTATGAGCTGTTGCCTAAAGGTGAGGTGGGGGGGGGGGGGAAGGGATAATGGTAATGAATTTGAAAATAATGCAAGTGACCACAAATTAAGCTGCTGATGATGAAGATATGGATCAGCAAAAGATCCGATCAACCTGCAATGAATGAAAAAAATTGCTAGGGCTGATCATTTTATTATTATTATCATTATTATTATTATTATTATTATTATTATTATTATTGTAACTGCTTCCGTTGAAGCCAAGTGTTACCGCTTCCGAAAAAAGCTGCGAAATATTTTTTGGTTAGGTTGACGCGCCCGTGATTAGTTCCTTTTAGACAGAAAATTATAGTTAGCGTTTCAGTTCAAGATAAGACCCCATGTGATCAAGATCGGTTTTGAATAGAAGACAAGTTAGACTGTAATCCTCGATAAAGTAATCAAGACCCGCGCACGTTGGTAATCAATAACTTGTCTTGTTATTATGTTATCTAGTTCGTAGTCGTTACTCAAAGTAAAATTTATCACTCTTTTTTTACCTTTCCTTTGGTTCTTGTTATTGCCACGTGCTCGTTTTCAAAATCGAGATTATTCTTAAGCTATGATCTACGGTGGCTGCGCTAACCCATAGAAGACATGCCACATTTTTTTTATCGCGCGATAAAATCAAAATATCGCGCTATAAATAGAAATTATCGCGCGATAACTGATAAATTATTGCGCGATAAATTAAAAATTAGTGCGCGAACAGTTCCGCTCTGAGAAGAAAGAGACCCTTGGTATTTGTGAACTAGAACACGAATTATAACGTCAGCTTCATGAACGTCCTTTTCCCAACTTGAAAAATGCTACGAAATACTAGTTCTGTGAGAGGAAAAGACGCGAGTACCATCATTTTGTGTCAGTAAGTTTATATTTATCATCTGAGATGCTTTACCATGTTAAATAAAACTTTTGACCAAATGATGCAATGGCAAATGAACACGCGCACTGGTTGTATATTGTATATATTGTATATATTGTATATATTGTAGTTAGCAACGCTTCTAGCCTGTAACTTAACGTAACGTAACATAACTTGTCGAAAGATGCAAATACGCTTTTCTGAGGTCTTCTCTTTTTCGCGCGTATCGGTGAAATTCTCGGCAAGCGCTCGCCACGCAAGCTCTTATTCTTTTGTAGCACGCATGAATAATTCCGTGACCACACAATAAAGTAACAAAAACTTTGAGTTGGACTATGGATGATATCAAGTGTAAATCTATTTTTAAAGAAGAAATAAAAGATTTTGAAATAATGGTTAAAGAAATGATTGGAGGACTTTGATTCACGTCACGTTTTGAAACAAATATTACGTCTATTAAGACTGATGGGAACTAAAACTTTCTCCATAATTTGATTTCGTACAAACGGGATGTCGTCAAGAGACAAACTCATGAAAGGAAAAACTCGCGTATCAGGCTTTGTCCCTAGCGTGCAGTTCACGTGCAACAAACCTTTGATCTCATTATTTACGTTCCCGTCAGGAAAATCGCAGCCAAATGCGGGACAAATACTTGTGTTCCAATTAAGAATTTAACGATCTCTTTTTATAACTTATTTTTTTCCACTTGTTGGTGTGAGAAGAGTTGATCATGCAAGGAAACGAAAACCAGTTCAAGACGTTTAGCGAAAAATCAAAGTTATTATTCACACCTGGTAATGACAACCAAACTGGAAGACGAACAAATTTCTACGACGAAGATGCAGGTACATGATGACGATAAAATAATTTAATTTTATTGAAGTGGTGGATCGGATAACCTCTATCGGATTTGCCGAGTGCGGAAATTTTGCTTGCTAAAGACACGCAAATATTAGTCAGCACTAAATCGATAGGGAGAAACTTTGATACTAATCACTCCGAAAGATGTCGTCACTTGGTGACCATATTCTGTTTTCAACTGTAGATTACTTCACAAAAATTCTAAAATGATGTAATCTTAAATTTATGGCGGAGTATAGCAACCAAGAGATTATATTTATCGGAGAAAAGAGCAGTACAGACACACATGTCAATGCGTGTCTTGACGTGTCGAGATTGGATTCAAAATGAATAGCTTGTAGTGCGTGACTTGATCTCGATGGGGTGACGTCTGCTCCTATTACGAACTTGGAGTCAAGTTTCTCTGCACCAGTTTCGCACTTAAGCTCATCGTAGGTCTCTGTTTGTTTTAAATAGCACTTTTAACAACAATATCGCTTCTTACCAATAAAGTATAAAATAAAAGAATTTAGATCTTCATTTCGGTCACAATCTGCTCTAACATGGTTACTTTCACTAAGGACCACAACCTCAGCAGAAAGTTTCAGAAGGATTTCATCTCGACACCAGGAAGATGCTGATTGGCGTTGCCATAGTGATTGGGATCGCATTTTCTTGGGTGGGGTCAACGCAATTTGCTCAGAGCTCATATTCGCCGGATTTTAATGCGCCGTTCTTTGTCTCTTGGTTCTCGACCTCGTGGGTGCTTGTGGTTTTTCCTGTCTATTTTTTGCGGGCACTACTCAGAGGAAAGAAGATAACTCAGTTTTACAGGTTTGTCAAGTCAAAAAAAAAAAAAAAAAAGAGACGAAACTCTTAGACTTTTGGAGTATGTAGCATAAACAAAGATTTGATCTCATCAAATTCTTCTAACTCTCGTCCTAGTTTAGGGACTGGTCATGGGGGAGGGGAGGGGAAGCCAGATTTCGGTTGTCTCACGATAAAATTTACGTAATCCCCCCATAATGCTTCTTTAATTTTCTTATGATCCTGCTCCAACTTACCGACTAACCGTAATAAAGACTTATTTTAAATTTATTCACTGTTGCAAAAATTCCTTAATTCTCTTATACTTACGCGTCACTGGTAAGCTTGATACATGACATGCTCAACCTCATTCCCTCTCTCTTCCAGAGGGTCAGAAGACCTGGGAACGAGGTTGTGACATGCATCAGCGTTTTGTCTTTATTTCCTCTGTTTTAGAGAAAGTGAAAGAGTCTTTGGAAGCCAAGGCCTACACCTCAGCTCACTCCTCAAATACGTGGGGCCATTTTGTCTTCTTTGGGTGATAGCCAATTACTCTTATGTGCGAGCCCTCGGGGTCCTTCGGGCAGCGGATGTTAGTGCTCTGTTTTCGTCTTGCAATGCTTTTGTTTATGTGTTCTCCCTGATTTGGCTGCAGGAAAGGCTCGGAATTGTTCAGGTGAGGGGAACAAAACCTCGATCACAACTTGAAACCAGTAAGGTAATGTTTGACCGTATCAATTGAGCTGATAATGTGAAATAGCCCCCGGAGAGAAATTCTAAAGCTGACGTTTCTCTCTAACGAAGGGGTAACCTTCGAAACAGTCAGCTTTAGAACTTTATGAATCTCTCATTATCAACTCAGTTGATACAACTAAATTTTCTGGCATTTCGGATGCTCTACCACTGAGCTATAGGAGACTCGAGATAGACTGGGCCCCTTAACTAGTTCCTTGGTGACAAATTTCAAGTTCCTGCGTACTGCAAGGATAGAAATGTCGATGTATGATACCTTTTCGCAGTGATGATACACTAGTACTGTTGTCGTTTGCTTCTTGTTTCTATCGCTATATCTCTTTTCCGTATCGTTACGAATCTGTTTGTAGTTTTAGTTTTCATAATATCTCAGCAGTTCTAATAGCGCCTTTGTGAGGGGAGCTCGACGAAACTCGATGTAGGAGGTTTTACCTCATTTTTTGTGGACAACATGAAGGAATCTCTCCTTAACCCAGTAATGACCTTCACTTCGTCTTATTTTATTTTTTTACCTCCACAGATTTCAGCAGTTGCACTTTGTATTGGAGGTATAGTAATGATGGCTTATGCAGAAGGATTTGCAGGACCCAACGTTGTTGGTGTAATACTGTCTGTAACTGCAGCAATCGGAGCTGCTTTGTACAAGGTAAATTCCGCAAAGTACCGTTAGGGTTTTGATCAACGAGATGCCCTCTGTGCGAAAATCCAGAACAGATGCCAGGGATATCCGAGTGCTGAAAGCCTTGTTTACAGAATCTTATTTTTACGTGTCGTGAAACTAAAGCAAAAATCTAACAGCCTCTTTAGTTAAAGTTATGCAAATCTAGTCACTTTTCGATTAATTTGTTTCAGCTTGAACTAGGCTTAAATCCAGACACAACCACACTGAATTGATCTTATAAGAGACCATATTCTCTTGGAACTATTATCGTACCAAAATTTTGTCTTCTCATTAAAAATATTAAATCAAAAAAGTTTTAGTTAGCAGAATGGTTGCCTGTTTTTAGAATGAAATGCTAATTTAACATGTTGCACAAATTTACTGGGTGACATCCCACGAGAAATCCTGGAAACGAGTTCGCTTTGGCTCCCGCACGGTACTATGCCCCGCTCGGGGAGTGCTGGTCGGTTACCCTTCTCTTTTGCTTTTAAGGTCTGGTTTAAAAGGATCGTTGGAGACGCTACATTAGGTCAAGTTTCCCTGTTCCTGTCCTGCCTCAGCTTACTCAGCACTGTACTTCTTTGGCCCTTAATCGTCATCTTTCATTATACACGTTGGGAGGAATTCAAATGGGAAGATATCCCCTGGAAATATCTTTGTGGAAATGCAGTTCTAGGAATGATATTCAACTTCCTGATAAACTTTGGCATCGCTTTTACGTACCCCTTGTTCATCTCTCTTGGCACAGTTCTCGGTATTCCTATCAATGCTGTGACAGATTATCTCTTTCGAGGAGCAGCGTTTGGCAGTTATAAAATAGTTGCTGCATTTTCCATCGTGATTGGTTTTTTGTTTATGCTGTTACCAAAAGAGTTCGAAAAAACTCTGCAGGAAACATTTTGTTGTCGGAAGAGAGAGCGGATCTTAAATTGAGATTGCGTTTGTTGTGTTAAACAACTTATGAATGACCCTCTCCTAGGTTTTAATAGGCCATTTTCGATATATTAAAATTCAAACTTGGCCCTGAGGCTTGGTGGAATTAACAAAAGAAATCACATCAAGGTTGAGGGATGAATAATTAATTCCTCTTGTTTTATATCCCCTAGCCTCGGAGCCATGTTAGAATTTTAATATATCGGACATGGCCTATTGAGCGTCTCAAGTTTGGAAGGCCAATTGCTAACTAATCTTTTGATTTATTCAATCTTATCATATATCGCAAAACTTCCTGTAACTCCTCTTGAGTGTCATCGGAACATTACACGAGGCTAAGAAGACCCGGTTATGCCAGGAATGTCCATTGTGCAACGGCTGTCTTCAAACGAAATGTGCTGAAATAAACACATTATTAATTTTGTGTACAAATATTTTAACCTTGGTTTTCGCCAGATGCCCGAGAGTAATTAAGCTTTAGCATTGGTCCATATCAGAAGCATATAACCTATAAGCTATATGCTTCTGTCCATCCTGATGGAACATTGAGCTGTACGCTTCGATACACACACGGGTTGCAATAATTTGCTTTGATTTGTTCATTCCATGTCAGCTCGCAATTATTCACTCAAGTGGAAGTGATTACGAGTGGGTTTTTAACGAGCGAGGCCATTATCCACCCAGTTTCACCGATACTGGGGTGAATAATAGTTTTAGTACAGTCCACACAAAAACCGAAAAAATCTATTTTTTATGTCAGTTCACTAGAAAGTTGCCGGGAATTAAACTTTTGATACGCGATTTTGTCTTTTCGGCTTCTTAGAGATGAATAGTACGTACTTGCTAGTCACAACCGACCTAGCCAATGAGCGTGTGCAAAAGGCACGCGCTTTTCAACTGTGTGATGTTTACTAAAACGTATTACGATTGATTTAATTGCATAGAGTAACGTAAGAAAGGAATGTGGATGAGATTTCATTTTCCTGCTTTCATTTTTCGAATACGTAACTACGTTTCTTCGATTTCGTAACTTAATTTTTCGAATTGCGTGATTTTTTTTCTTTTCGAATATGTTAATGATTGAAGTCGTTAAAATATTGGACCGGCCATGATGACGTGATCGCTAGGATTTAATTCATTTGGAAGTAAAAAACAAACAAATTAAAAAATTAAAATAAAAAATGGTGTATTGTTAACTTCAGCACAAGAGGACTGAACACTGAAGACTGAAGGAGGATCTTCGAGAAAATATCCGAAGATGCGTGTCAAAGATTCGTCCCAATCAGTTAGAGCCTATGTCAACAGGCCATAACTCTCTTCTACCACTCAACCACATTGCTTCTTTGTGGAGATCAATGAGAACGAACCAGCGTCGATGATCGGCTCAAAACTGAACCCTCTCTTTTGCGACGATGAGTGGGTACAAATGGTTCGCTTAAGGAGCGATGCATAAATGAATATATGTCCACACTTTCTGCCGGAGTTCCTGTGATCTTGCTTTTCCTGACAAGATTCTACAAGGAGTTTGAGGAGAGTGTTACCCCAGAAATCTTTGAATTTTTCTGAAACAAACTAGTACAAGAGCATCTTTAATTAAAATTACTGATTTGATTTGCAATTCTTAAAGCATGAAAATACTTATAATTAAACGCCCTTTAAGAACCCATCAATACGTCTTTCGCATCGTCAGTTCCATTAACACGAGTTTGAATCTTAGCAAAGCTTCTCTTTGGCTGTATTTATGAAAGCGATTTCATCAACATTCACAAATTGACGACTAGCGTCCCTTTCAGCGAAGCGAATGCCGGGTGAGTCGGGGCTAGGAACCAATCTTTCGCGGCACGTTCCACTTTGTAAGCGGGAGACCTGTTCTGATGCTAGTAGTTGTTCACTTGAGTTAGATCTTATGTAAAGTTTCCGTGAATGACAAAACAAATATTTCAGCAAAATGAGATGTTATACTGGGCACTTAAATGGCAGAAATGGTGTTTTACTGGGGCAACAAAAGCTCTTTAAGCTATTTGGCAGTTGTTTCCATCTTAGTCATTACTCTCGTCCATTGAGATATTTGTAGTTCCATTGAACTCCGGTTCAAGATAGTTCTCATCCTCCGGGACATCCTACAAAAAAATAAAACAAACGGTAATAAGCCTATGTATTAGATAAAGGTAAAGAGCAAGTTCTTCAGTTACTCAGCTCTACTGATCATGGATGTTCAATTTGTACTGAATATTTCTTCTCCTGTTAAGTCAATTTTTTTTCAGTATTTTCATCAATATGTGCCAAGTATCGTGATGTAATTTCTTTAATCCTGACTTCAAAAGTGATTTAACTAAATGTTGCTTAACACCGTCAAACAAAGTCCTTTTCTTTCACTCCATTTCAACTGAGCACAACACACCCATAAATAGGTCAACTTATCAGTGGACCATCTTAGTAACTTACTCCACATAGGTACCATGGTCGAGCCAATTAACTTGCAATAAAAGCAACGTCATCTTCGATACCAACAAGATCAAAACAAACATTATTTAGCATATGAACCCACAAAGAGCTCTTCATCTATTTCCTTCTACTCTTTCCCGATCAAATTCCATTTCCTGATGCAAGGAGTACAGACGATCACAAACTTTTTCGGTGACTATTACATTCTTACGCGTTTCGTCTTTATTTCTTCCTCCAGTGATTCCAAAAGCTCAGAAAATGATGGACGCTTTGTAGAATCCAAACTCCAGCATGACTTCATCATATCGTAGCTGTGAACAGAAAAACGATTCTGTTTAGTCACACCTCGGAGTTGAACCGTTGTGACAGACCGGGGTCTTATTCCATTCAAGATTATTTACATTTCATCTGGGCATCCATCCGGCTTGGCTAAAATTCGTCCTGCTTTCAGAAATTCTATTATTTCCATTCCGCCAAGACCAGAATACGGCATTTTACCTTGAAAGGAAAGATAAAGAGTTCAGTCTTTGTTGATGGTTTAATCAGCAGCTTGTCTCAAGAAGACGACTTGTGATAATTATTATACAGTAGACTTCCTTTGAAAACTCTGATAAGTCGAGTGCATACGTTGACATGATAACCCTATATCTGCAGCAGATATTTTACGTAATGATGATGATGTTTTGTGTGAGTATTCGAAATCTTAACTTACTCACATATCCTTTAATATGAAATAGGTAAAAAGTCTCCATGCTAAAACTGTTTACCTCCAGATTCAATCTCCCATAATAACACTCCAAAGGACCATCTGTCGCAAAACAGCACTATTAGGTCATTTTACAATAAAAACAAAATGATTTCTTACGGAATTATAATTCCAAATTGCAATAACGCCATAAGCTCACCATTATCACTAGCTACATCTCGATATAACTAGTATATAAAGGAAAGCATGAATTTGATATAGCATCTGAGCTATATCTTAACATTACAAAAGTGCATCAGTATGCCAAGAGTACCCCACTTGTTCTTAGAGTTTCATTATCATGACGAGGGAAGTATCTGCTGCTTAATTTCAATGGAAAACACTCAGAGACGATAAAATAGCTTCAAACTTAATCAGTTATTAGGACCCCTATTCGCGAATAGCAAGTAGCTTTACAATTTTAACTTTCCCTCAGAATTCCTTACAGAGTTAACTTACACATCTGTTTTAGTATTGTACGTGTAATCCTCCAAAGACTCAAGAGCCATCCAGCGAACAGGTAACATTCCCTTTTTTGGAAGAAAACATTTAAAGCATGGTTTGAGTAAAAACAATTCAGTTTAAATAATACTAAAGAATAGTACGTACGAAAATCGTGAATTTTTATAGTTGTATGTTGAGACGGCATTGGCTCAGGGAGATAAAACTGGGATTGCAAGGAGCCCAAGGGGATTTAGTGCCGCCAAAGGACCCCCCAAACGGCGCGCTAATTGCTTGAAACGTATTGAAGAAAATTAGCTATTATTTACGAGTGTCTCTTGCTCTGGATAGTGAACGTAAATAGCAGTTTCTGAGAATTTGTAGAATGCTAACTCACGGTGACATGGATACTCGAACCTTCTAATAACATACCATGGAACATTCTAGAAAATTCTGTTAGGATTTGTGATAATTATGTAATTCTACTAAAGTACGTAGTTGTGTAGTAAGCTTCTAGAATTTCCAGAATACGTTGGAGAATTGTTATTGTTTTCATTGTTATTGCTTTCATTTCATAAAAGTCGCTTCTTCGTAAGATTTAACTTAAGACGAGGTTCGAAGATCACTTTCATATTCATTTTAGACGTGTTGTTTAACTAAGTAGTTGGGTTTGTAGGAGTATAGTGTTCTTTCTGTCGGTTAATGTATACCGTAACACTTCAAAGGAGGAAGAATCTTTGCAAAACGATATAGCTGGAACTATAAATATATATGTCGTTATAACTACTCTCCCCATTTTTTAAACACGAGAAAACTGGCCATACCCCAGATGTACTTTCGTATTCACCACTTTCATAAACATCACGTGACAGGCCGAAGTCGGAAACCATGGCAAGATTTTCCTCGCCAAGAAGCACGTTTCTCGCTGCAAGGTCACGATGAACACACTAAGAAAGAGAAGCCGAATAAAAATCAAATAATCCTCTAGAAAGTAAATATTTTTCTGAATTCTTTATTGGATCTTGTACCTTTTTGCTGGCCAGGTGAAGCATTCCACAAGCTACATCTCTTGCGATCTTCATTTTGTCTTGGGGCGTGAACTTCATTGCCTCTTTCCGAACATTGTAATATGGATTTTCGCTCCTCTTTTTCAGTTGGTCCAACAAACAGCCATTCGGGGCCAAAGTGACAATCACCAATACTGGCTCTAGAATTTGCCACAAAGCTAAATATTAAAGTTGTGAAGCAAAATTGCATTTATTTGTGTTGCATAATTGGGAATTTGCTTTTACATAGAAGGACAAAACTGAAAAGGAAACTGCACGTAGAACATCAATTAATATCAACTAAAAGTTACCAGTCTTGGTACAAGCTCCGATAAGACTTAAGACATTAGGATGTTCACCAACTGTGACCATGACTGCAAGCTCGTTAATCAGGTCCCGTCTCTCTGTTTCTGTAGCATTTTCTGCAAAGAAATATTCTAAGCTTTACTGATATCCAAGGGGCAGCAAATCTGTTTACAAGTTGTATCAAACACTTGAAACGCATCTAATGCATGTGCTTTCAACCGAGAAATCATCAACCAATCATAAGTTTTCTAAATCGATCATTCACTTATTAACTTATTGAGCTTATTAACTAAGAAAATCAGTCAACCAATCAAAAGCTTCATCAAAAATGTTTACCTTGAAGTTTTTTTACTGCGCATGCTCTCACTAGTTCTCCCATGCGCACCAAGCCTTTGTACACTTCCCCAAATGCACCTTCTCCCAGCTTGTCTTGGAGCGTAACATCTGATCTGGGAATTTCCGCCCAGCCTCCAACGTTCATGTAACAGCGAATTACTCTTTCAAACATTAGATCACTGGATAACTGGATAACACTGGATAACTTAATCATATAATTCAAGTCAAATTACCTCTTCTCTCTTCTGTTTTGATTTACATATTGGCCGAAACTTTAAGCAAACAGCCAATATAAATACAGCAGCTAAGAACAAGGGCAAGACTATAACCAACATCAAATCTCTGATGAATCTGTCTATAAGTTGGAAAAAAAAGCAAATGCTTATCGGAAGCAAGTAACATGAAGCATAAACCTTTCCCTTAAAAGCGTTTTTGTCTATTTGTGTCCTCAATAAGAAAAAGAGACAACTTGAAACTTTTTTCTTGATACCCTTGTTTTCACGTTTGAACTTTTTTAGATTACCTTACTTTAGGAACAAAGAAAATCAGAGCCAAGTTACTTGATACTATGGAACACAAGTATCAAACACTATGATTGTGTCCTGTCCAAGCGTTGGATGACATTAGTTGTTATTGTTGACCTTTACCTTTTCCCTAACTTCGTGAATTTTCAAATAATTTCCTTTTGGAAGGTACCTGTATATATGTAAAGATCGACTTGGTGCTGGTCATTTGGGGAGAAACCCACTCTGGGTGTTATTATTACCTGGCAGTGTCTTTTGTGTTAACAATACACCCTCTGACCTTCCATACATATTGTTGCTTGATAATCTGATGGTGTATTCTGTGGACGGATCTAAGTTCTCCATAATCATTCTGGTCTCAGGGTAAGGAATTGTCCAAACTGCGGTAAAGTTCTTCAGTCTTGATATCTTTCGCTCTATAGTGTAGTTGTGTATCTGGTATATGCTGCCATACTCTGGCTCCTCCCATGTCAAAATAAGATATTTTTTCTGTGCATTCTTTACGGAGAAACTTTTAGGAGACCTCGGTGTTTCTGACGAATGAAGGAAGTATCAATAGTATATTACTTAAAACCAGCAGCTTTAAAACTACATACCCCATATTATGTGGAGTTATCAATTTTTTGAGGGGGGGGGGGGGTGATTTGAGAGTAGGGTATTTCTTAAAAGTATCCACAGAGCTTTACTTACCCTGAACCCGTATAGAAGTAACTTTAAGCCAATCTCCAAACGACGAACGCACCCCTCCTATCAAATGATTAAGAGCATCATCTTTGTCGGTTGTGTTCGTATTTATTGTTGCAAGGACTTTAATGTCTGCCCTCAGGCTGCCATTTCTAAAAACAAAAGTGACAAAATACTTAAGAATACTTCACCAGCGGTAAATAAGATAACGTTTGTCATGAGAGCTGCTTTTCTCGAAAGAACCATCTGCAAGGTACTCAATTCTTCAGTCTTGAAACGTGGGTGAGTGGAAAACCTTTGATATGGAAAGGACACTTTATTCTGAGGGAAACAAAGTTAATTTTCATATGAAATGTTATCTAATTGACCTCATTTTGAAAGTAAGGGTGTTTAGAAACCAAAAAGTGGCCAATATAGGCTCTAAATGACCAACGAAATATTTGAAGGGGAATAAAAATAGTTTCTAGATCTTACCTAAAATGTATAGTTATGACGTTATATATCTTCAACATAGAAGATTCGTTGAAGTGGTGTTTTATCTAAAAGAAAAAAAATGTTTTATTCAAAAACAGAGCATGCAAAAATGTGAAAGCACTACTTTGTCCTACAAAAATCAAATTTTTTATCAAACCAATTGTTCCTTACTGAAATTCTAATGAGTTCAGCCATTTCCAAGAACCTTTTACTGCTACTGTTAAGCAGATCCCTGCTAAAATCAGAATCTATGATCAGCTGGAAGTCTACCTCTAATATTTCTTCACCTGAAAATCAACCAAAGAACACAGGGAAGTGATAACAAGACAAAAAAGGAATTACATATGAATGAAAAAGGAAGAGCAAATTATGAACTAAAAATTTGTTTGGCTGGTTCAAGATTTCCAAACAGTAATATACGGCTAGTTTAATGCTAAAAGGTTGAGACTTTCAATTATAAAAGCGGAAAAGAGAAATATGATATCCGTTTCCACCGGTCATTATCAGTGGCATTCGACCTCATTTCCCCAATCATGATAATATAGTTATGGCATCTGCTTGAAACGTGTCATTGGCACCCGGATATCAACAAAGCTCTCAACTGTCGATTGTCACTTTAATTGTAAGTGGTATATACCCTACATACCAGAAGACAGAGTTTTTACAACAAGGACCATGCTAGTTCGCCCGTGGCCAATTTCATTGAACCCATTGACCATAATCTCGTACGCTGTGTTTGAACGGAGCTTTGTAATAACATCTTGAGTCAAGTTACTCGTTGTGTTTGCTTCATCATAGAGCTCGGACCCTTTGCTCCGGTATTGAATCCGATAACCCAACAGTTTTTCTTCATAACGAGAAGGAGGTATGTTCTTCCAAGAGATTAAAATGGCTGTTGAATTGAGAGGATGGCCTTTAAGGAAAGTGGGAGCCTCTTCTGGAACTGGTAACATAAACATAAAAAAAAAATGCTCTTGATCTCTTAAACATTTTGGTCCACAGTAAAGAAGAGTGTGTTCCTTTGGTTGATCTGGAGCAGAGTCTGAAGTCCGAGAGGACTGAGATCATGTTACGTTAAAGCCATCAATAAACGATAGAGATCTCTGAACAAGAATCTTTCAGCTGCTTGGTTATTATACCATGATCAAAGAAAGCCTGGTAATTAATCTGCTTAAGTCTGCTCTTGATCTGCGTTTTCTCTAAGCCCGACCTTGGGTAATATTGTGAAATCTTCTATAAAATTTGTCTCCGCATGAAACAAAGCGAAGGAAATGATGCCACAGAATATGACATCCTAAATTGTTTTTCGTCAGTATCTGAATAATATGTCTGTATATTATGTTCTAAAAAGAATTTTAAAATGATTCTTTAATTTCATTTATACTTTCAATCTTCCATTTTCACTTGTGCCCTTTGGCTCTCGCGTAAGTTCTCTTTATGACTAAATTTACCTCTAGAGGGACATCGAGATACGTTGCAATATTCCCATCGAACATTTGGGTCAGCGGTATAACACCATGGTCCATCCGGGGCACTGCTGTCCGGGTTACGACACGTGTTCGAGTCATTTTTGGAATTAGCGACATCTTCAGGAATCCGCCAGTGACGATGAGGACACTGAGATTTCCACGACTGACATGTACGACCAGACCGAGTGACGTTCATGTTGCCACGGTAACCAAATCCCACACCGTGGAAACAATCTAAAATTAATCGCATCTAGATGTTAAGGTACTGTCAACATAGAGGTCGGTACACACGAGGGGACTTGTAGCAGGGATTTTTTTTAGGGACTACTCCGCTGTACGGTTAACACGATGGGACCAGTTGTGGGAACAAGTCCCTTGAAGAGTTTACCTACTGGGACCTGTTTCACATCGAGATAGCAAAACCTAGGGCGCTTTCACTGAAATTCAGCGAACAAGGAGCGATCCTAAACAATGGAACCGAATTTAGAAAATTAACTCCAAACAGGACACGTGTAGGACACGCTCACGTCAGAAAACAGCATCTCTTCCATTTATAAAATTGGTCAAGCATTTGCTTTTTTCTCCTAAGGTTCTGTATACTACTTTTCCAGAACTGAAAAACAGCAGCTATTGAAAAAAGGCCGCCATATTGAAACGGAGTACGAAAGGGGTTATGGGAACTTAAATACTGATCAGTGGTTAGATTACTTTCATTTGGTCGCAATTGCAAGGACCTGTCACTTTAACAGTTCATACACAGGGACCTGGATAATTTGGAGGAACAAGTCCCAACAACATGTTGAAATCGTGGACCACATTTTGTTACCTGCAACTACATTTGTCAGTGAAACTGGGTAGTTCACACGAAAGGACTTGGTCCTCGGGACTAGTCACAGGAACTAGTTGCAGGGACTAGTCCCTTCGTGTTTGTCAACCTCATAGAACTTGAAGTGCTACACCGTGGAGTGATGTCGACTGGGATGGCGAGAAGCCTGGATAAAATGTTAGTTACTTTTATGTCATCGCTTGAAGCATAACTTAACGTATATAGAAATTATCTATTTTTTTTTTTTTTATCAAATCTTGATCTTTTTGTTCAAAGCACTATGGACGCATCAGACAGCGTTCGATTAGAGATCGTAAAATAACAATTCAGAACATTAATAACAGACCTGTACTTTCAGTGTCATCACCTATGGGAAATGGAGAAAAGTGAGAGTAGTTGAGGTCAGAAAATATAAAATTATCTCATAGATATGATAGGCTAAAAATATTACAATTATTTCCTAGCGTTCGATTTTTTTATATGTTTGTGTCTTCACACAAGCCAATGCACGTGGCTCATATGCTGCCGGAGCGTTCCTACTTTTCGTGACATTAATTAACAGCTATTTACCGAAGTGGAGGTGGCTACTGGAGGATATTTACTGAGCTGCGAAGCGGCGAGATAAATATCCACCGCTAACCACGGACACTGTGGTGAATAGGTATTTTAGTATATGCTAAAATAGAAGGATGATATAGCGCAAAAAGATGATTTTAACTCATTTATTCCTGCATAATATTTTCATTATTCACCTCCGATCAACTCGGGCGGAATTTGCGATTAGCAAAGGATAGTTGGGGATGGAGCAGCCAATCAGACTGCGCCTCCAACGCTATCTACTGTTTTTGTACATAATAAGTATTGCTTTTCCCCAAAGATGTGATTCAAATCCATCGCGGGTAACCTCTCCCCCTCCTCCCTCTGCACTTCGGAAAATTTCCCCGACAAATCGCCGGTACCCATTATTACACCTGGGAGGGGAGAGGCACCACATGGTGCAATATATCTTCCCTCAGACACACAGCGCAGGGACCCTGTTAAACCCAAAGGGTTCTTTAACTCTCAAACGACATGACCAGATTACGAGGGTAACTTGTTCAAATAGAGGAGTTAATGATGACGTTGCAATACCTACCAGGAAGATCGTACCATTGATAGCACTCAGGAGCATCGCCACCATTAGCAGAAGCAAATTTAGAGCTCGAGCAATTTGCCAAGTCTACGTAGCGTTGAAAGATCGGTATATCTCTGATTAAGGCCATTTCCCTTTTGCAGACGACTTGCAAATATTCGCATGAGCTGCGACAAATAGGGCGTTCTTTAGGCTGCACCAATGATTCATCACAATTAGGGAAACCATAGACACAGAACAAGTCTTTAAATGGGATCCTGCACTCCGGTGTGATCTCAAGAGCGTCGAAATAACCCTTAAAGTTCACAGCTTCCCTTTCACCAGTATCCAATGTGGACTGATCACCATAAACGTATAGACTACTGGTTATATTTTTACAGAATTCGCCTTTATACTCGTAAAATATACAAGAAGCGTTTCTTGCGGAGGCACTCACCGGAGGAAATGCTGGAATGCAGCTAAAGATATAGAAAAAATGAAAAGGAAATGATGAAGAGGCATGTAAATGAATGAATAAACAAATAGATAAAAAACTGAAACGAAAAATAATATACAGAGCACTTAGCTTTAGCACTTCAGAGGAATGTTAAGCATACCAACCTTGCATTAGAATGCCCTTGAGTGAGGTTATTTTCTGTTTATCGGTAAAAGAAAGTAAAGGGAATGATTATTAAAACCCATGACCTCAGTGAAACCGGTGCAGCGCTCTACCAACTGAGCTAACAAGCCAACTGTTGAATCCAGATAAACCTTCGAAGTGGTGAATAATGGCTGTAAACATGTGAAAATCATATGTGTGCACTGCGGTTAAAGAAACGAATATAGAATCGATCCTCGCAGTTATGAACACTACTGAACTAGTAGTTGAAGTGAGGCCTGAAAAAAATTCAGGCCCGTAAAATTCGTAAAAAAGTGGACAAGCTCAAGGAAACCGAAATGTATGAAGCTAATGAAAGTAAACTCTACACATGATACATATTTTTGTGGTAGTCCCAAGTATCCTCAGCAGACGAGGATTCTGTCTCGCCTTAAACTTTGTAGAAATTCATTTGCCGTCAATAGCTTTTCAATGCTATCTTCCTCCTCCAAGAGTAAAATGTCGCTATCATGTATTATCACTTGGCTGTGAGCAGCATAGCATCTGAATCAAAAATAAAAATAACTTTTTCTACCAACCACAGCGAACAAAGATTGCGCTCAAGAAGGTAAGAACAACTATGGTCCAGACTTGAGTCATTTCTATGTTGTAAGGTTGGTTACCAGTGGAAAAACTTCAATCTAATTTAAAGATGTAAAGATAAATAAGAAAATTAATTCCTTATCGTACAGTCAATAACTTTGATACAAAACGAATAAACATTTTAAAATACTGAGCAAACTGAAAGAGAGCGATTGATCAGTAAACTCGATATGCGGAAAGACATGAATATCTATAATTTAGAATCGAGCCATTACATAATACCAGACTGTCAGTCGTTATCCTAAACCGGTTGAATTAGATCATTAAGTTGAAATAATCTGCATGAACATATTTCTAACGACTGCCACCATTTTTCTCCAGATATAAGTGAATCTAATAATATATTCACTAATCAATAATCTAATAATCCAATATAAGTGAACCTAGATGTTATTCTTTGCTAGGGCATAATTATCTTTTATAGACGACCTGCGGTCACTAATGGCACAACAGAGTTCAGTAGCGCAGAAAATTGAAAATGATGTTCGCAGCACGTTAAATGCCAATTTGCTGAAGGGCAAATCTGACTTTTCACACGCCACGTGGTTTGCCTGCGTGGATATTCTGTTTGAGAATCGCTTTCTCGTTGTATGAGATCAGTTCGTCTCCTATCGTGGCGAATATTGGTTTCTAAGTGGAACTGAAATATGCTTAAAAATACAGTCACCGCTGCAAATGAGTCTAACTCAGTTGGGCAAACAAAGTTGTTTTTCACAGCTGCTCCTGACGCCAAACTGATCACCCCACAAGACTATCCACTAAGTTAAGAGTCTACTGCTTACCAACTCTCTGATAGATATGGTATTTTCCTCTGCGAATCAAAACAGGATGAACACTGAATACTCTGCCAAAGCGCTGGATCCTGTTTCATAACTAGCCCGCCGTGACATGACGTTTCAGTTAAACTAGGAATAGCACGTCGTTATAAATAAACTGAATGCAAATGTATGTCAGCCTTCTAAAATAAGAGCAACGCTCGATACAATTTTTGAAGAAAATTCATTTATCCTTTGTAACAGTATTCGAGTAATTTTGCTCGCATGCTTGAACTAAAATCACTCACGACTTTGAATACCTTCTAGCTGACTACTGTCTTACGTTACAAGGCCTCCTTCTTTTTGGTTCCGCTCTCTGATACTTTACGATGATATTCACCACGAAAGCTTGAGTTAAGAAAGCTGATAGCGAATGAACAGCTAAGCGAGTAACACGGCTGACTTCCTGCCACCTTTCAGTTTCAGAACATAACACAAGGTCATAGGGGTTGGTCTGTGCAGAGGCGGAAATTACAAAAACTAATCCTCTCCATTGTTTCCTCTACTTAGTTCGTCACGGAAGCCAAATAACGCAATCGCTTATGATCTGTCTTATATGCGACACGCACTCAAAACGATGCAAAATAGTTAATTCAGCGGTCCCCTGAGTAAGATTTTTAATTGACTAAACAAACTTTTCAACTGGTAAAGCAACTCATTCAACCACAAAGAATACTCAGTTGACCCTGTTTAAGCTCCAATAAATGTGCGCATGCTCAGAACATCTAAACAAATTTTTCATATCTCTGAAGGTCAAACTTTCTTCTCCCTTCGTTCAAGTGAATCTTTTGTCTTCATCTGGCAAAGCAACTCACTCAACCACAAAGAATACTCATTGATCTTGTTCAAGCTCGAATAAAATTGTGCAGGGTGAAAGCATCTTAACAAATATAAGGTAAGAATGGTCACAAAAGGGTGGGTAATGAAAAAACCTATGTTATTAACGGATCTGTCACAATGACGTTAATTTACCTTCGAGCCTTACTGATTTCAGAGTAATAAATGGTTTTCGAAAGCTCAGGTCTAAATTTTTTGTTCTGTCCCATGTATTTGTTGGTACTTAGAATATTTCTATTCGTAAAAATCAACAAATTGATCCCAGGAGGTTTGCTTTGGTGTTTTCAAGGAGGAGTAAAATAGACTTAAGACGTAGTTACCAGACGTAAAGTGACGTGACGTGCTCGCGTGACGTAACGTGAGTTCAAGTCAAGTCAAGTCATGTGGAACGAAGGAAACATAAGTAAAAGCAAGTGCACTTCCGCCACAATTAGACATAATTCATGGTTTCACTTCTGTGGTAGTAAGCTTTTTTGCCTTGTCTTTGACTGAGAACAAAACAGAGTCCGTCGGAGCATTTTTGTGAGGCCGAGTTTTTGGACGCAAAAAAACAAACTGGTGACCCAGGGGGCTTTTTTTTTTTTGCTTTACTTTGCTGACAAAACTTGTTTAAAGGTTTTACCAAATATCTAGTTAAAAATAAACAAATTCCTTTTGCTTCCAGAAAATTCAATAAAACTCATACGGAGAGTGACATTTATCATCTTACATCTAATTAAAGATACAAACGAACTCTTGGCCTCTGACATTTCATCAATTTTGACAATGCGCAATCACTCTCTGGGTGGCTCGTGTTACGTTTCATCACTTTTATGTCGCGACTGGAAGTCGGTGTTTGTTTCATCATTCAATGTCCAGTTACTTCATTCGTGTTCTCTTAACTAAGAACCAAAACGCAGTTTCAGTTACCAGCAGAATCAGAGGCTGGAGCAAGAAGTCAGCATACGGAAAGTATTCAAATTCATGGGTGGTTTTACTTATTTTCCGCAAACGGCGGAGTATGATAACATTTTGACATTCCTGCCTTTATCGAACCATTCACTTTTACATGAACGTTGTCATGAAACCTGGTCTTGTGTCTGATCTTATTACGCATATGACTTACTTTCAATGCTCCGGCGAACGCTTTTTATGATAATAATCAACTGGTCATTTAGGGGTACGTCACGCAATAGCGGAAGGATATATCGTCAAAGTTCTCACAGCGTAAGTGTAATTTATTACACGTCAAATATGTAGAGTACGTGCTTTCACACATGCTGATTAGCTTGCTTGTATGCGATTGAAATACTATATACCTCTGTGGCGAGAAGCAGAGTGGCTTCATATTTCTCTGTGAGGACTAGAGAGGTAAATTAAGTTTGATTAAAGCAAAGCAAAGTGACAACTAAGTTTTTTATTGTCTTGACAGCTGTCGTGCCGCTGAAAGCGACCACACAACATTCCGGTTGTTGTTGTCGTTGTTGTTTTCAATTCTTGTTACTACTATGCTTGGCAATGTAATAATATTGTAGGGAGAAGTCATTAGTAATATTTTCCTTTCTAAATTTTTAATTTTTGCCAATGGTATCAAAATGAACGCAGTCGCACTGTTACTTAGAGATGTTACCATATCTCATTGGAATACTGGAAACAAAGCGTTGCTTTTTCAGAAAAGCACAGTGGATGCTGTCAACTTGCACTGCTCTCAAAATCGCAACCAGTGTTCTTTGAATTTCTGGAATGACTCAAGGTATTCTGGGAAAAGTGGAGATATCCAAAGTAAAATCACTGTGGGACTTTTGTTGATTAATTTAGTAAAACTTTTTTCCAATTAAATAAAAGTAATTCAGGGTAATACGAAAAATTGTATCTCTACTTATTTGACGTGTACTGAGTAACACTTATGCAGTGAGAATGCTAACGATCTCCTTCCACTATTGCGTGACGTACCCCTAAATGACTGGTTGATTATTAACTTTAAAAGCGTTAGCCGAAGCACTAAAAGTAAGTCATATGCGTAATAAGAACAGACACAAGACCAGGTTTCATTGACAACGTTCGTGTAAAAGTGAATAGTTCGATAAAGGCAAGAATCAACAGCCAGCGCTTTGGATTTTGTCCGGAATGTCAAAATGTTATCATACCCAGCCGATTGCGGAAATTATGTAAAAATCACCTACGAATTTGAATACCTTCCGTAGGCTGACTTCTTGCTCCAGCCTCTGATTCTGCTGGTGACGGAAACTGAGTTTTGGTTCTTAGTAAGTGAACACGAATGAAGAAACTGGACATTGAATGATGAAACAAACACTGACTTCCAGTCGCGACATAAGGCACGAGCCAGCCAGGGAGTGTTTGAGCATTGTCAAATCTACTGAAATGTCAGAAGCCAAGAGTTAATTCGTTCGAGTCTCTAATTAGATGTAAAATAATAAATGTCACTCCCCGAATGAGTTTTATTGAATTTTCTGGAAGCAGAAGGACCGTTTATTTTTAACTAAGTATTTTTTAAAACAGAACATGAATGAATGCGTCATTTGGCCTCTGACAAACTAAGTAGAGAAGAGAATGGAGAGGAGTAGTTTTTGTTATTTCCGCCCACGTGACCTTGTGTCATGTTTTGCAACTGAATAGTAGCAGGAAGTCAGTGTTACTTGCTTGGCTGTTCATTCGCTATCAGCTTTCTTAACTCACGCTTTCGTGCTGGAAATTATGGTAAAGTATCAGAGAGCAGAACCAAAAAGGAAAAAGCTTTGTAAGGGAAGACAGTAGTCAGTTAGATGATATTCAAATTCGTGAGTGATATTCGTTCAAGCGTGCAAGCAAAATTATTCGAATGTTGTGCTACAAAGGATAAATGAATTCTCTTCAAAAATTGTATGGAGCATTGCTCTCATTTTAAGAGGCTGACACATATTTGTGTTTAGTTTATTTACAACGACGTGCTTTTCTTGGTTTCACTGAAACGTCACGTCGCAGCGGGTTGAGTATGAAACAGGATCCAGCGCTTTGGTAGAGTATTGTTTATCCCGCTATAAACTATTTGCAGAGGAAAATACCACATCTATCAGAGGGTTGGTAAGCAATAGACTCTTAACTTTGTGGATGGTCTTGTGGGGTGATTAGTCTCTAAACTGGCGTCAAGAACAGCCGTGAAGAACAGCTTTGGTTGCCTAACTGAGTTGAACTCATTTGCACTGGTGACTGTATTTTAAGCATATTTAGATCCACTTAGAAACAAATCTCCGCCACGATGGGTGACAAACTGATATCGTACAACGAGAAAGCGATTCTCAAACAGAATATCTACACAGGCTAACCACGTAGCGTGTGAAGAGTCAGATTTGCCGTCCAGCAAATTGGCATTTTAAGTGCTGCGAACATCATTTTCAACGACATCTGTATATCATTTTTAATTAATTTCTGCGCTACTGAACCCTATTGTGCAATTAGGGATCGCAGGTCATCTTTAAGATAATTATGATCCAGGAAAGAATAACATCTAGGTCACGTATATTCTGGAGAAGAATGGTAGGAGTCGTTAGAAATATGTTCGTGCAGATTCTTTCAACTTAATAATCGAATTCAACTGATTTAGCTGATTTCGGATGATACATGACAATTTGGTGTTATGTAATGACTCGATTCTAATTTATAGATATTCATGTCCCTCTGCGTATCGAGTTTACTGATTAATCGCCCTTTATCGGTTTGCTTAGAATTTAAAATGTTTATCCGTTTTGTATCAAAGTTATTGACTGTACGGTAAGCGAATTAATTTTCGTGTTTGTCTTTACATCTTTATATTAGATTGAAGTTTTTCCACTGGTAACCACCTTTACGACATAGAAATGACTCAAGTCTGGACCATAGTTGCTCTTACCTTCTTGAGCGCCATCTTGGCTCGTTGCGGTTGGTAGAAAAAGTTCTATTCATTTTTGATTCAGATGCTATGCTGATCACAGCCGAGTGATAATACATGATAGTGACATTTTACTCTTGGAGGAGGAAGATAACGATGAAAAGCTATTCACGGCAACTGAATTTCTACAAAGTTTAAGTGCGAGACTGTAAGAACTGCCCTGGCAAATAAAACGTATGGCACGTTTGCAGTACATCCATCAATAAGGAGTTATATAAAAACTCAGTTATGTTATTAAATGAGATTTTTCCCCTTTTTCTATTAAAAAGTTTTATTATAAAATTTTATTACAATAACTATTATTTTAATAATCATTTACTTTACTTTCTTTTACCGATAAACAGAAATTAACCCCATTCAAGTGCATTCTAATGCAAGGTTGGTACGCTTAACATTCCACTGAAGTGCTAAAGCTAAGAGCTCTGTATAATATTTCTTTCATTTGTATATATTTGTTTAATCATTCATCTTCCTATATCAAATATTTATTGATTTACATGCCCATACATTATTTTCTTTTCATTGTTTCTATATCTTTAGCTGCATTCCAGCATTTCCTCCAGTGAATACCTCCGCAAAAAACGCTTCCTGTATATTTTACGAGTATGAAGGCGAATTCTGCAAAAACATAACCAGAAGTCTATACGTTTATGGTGATCAGTCCACATTGGAAT